AAATTGTATTTTAAAATGAAAGCTCCAGAAAAAATGGCTAAGAGTGAAGTGTATTGAATCAGTTTAGGAAGATGAAAAATTTCTGGAATGGATGGTGGTGATGGTTGCATAACACTGTGAATGTACTTAATACCACTGAACTTAAAAATGGTTAAAATGATTTTTTAAAACAGGTTAAAATGATAACTTTTATGTTATGTATATTTTATCACAATTTTTAAGAAAAGGGGGCTTCCCTGGTGGCGCAGGGAGGGGGGCTACCGAAAAAAAAAAAATCCAAGAGAAAAAGTAGATTGGAAGTTACCAGGGGTGGGGAGGGGGCTGGGGGGGTGGGGGGGAGGAAAGGAATAGGGAAGGACTGTTTAACGGGTTCCAGGCTTTCTTTTGTGAGGATGAAAACTCATGTTTTGGAAAATGACACTGGTGATGGTCGCACAACATTATGAATGTAATTAATGCTACTGAATTAAAAACTTTAAAATGGTTAAAATTTTATGCCATATATCACAATAGAAAAGTATGTATTGATTGGAAAGGAAACATGGGTGATACCAATGTCCTACATCTTGTTTTGGGTGATGGCATACATTTGTCAAAGCTCGACGGATTTCACACTGAAGATCCGTGCATTTTACTGTACGTACAATAAAATTCAAGTTAATAAAAAGTTTAAAGTAGTTGCCTCTAGGGAACAGGGGGAATGGGTAGGGAGGCTGCCTTTTTCATTACAAACCTTTTGTATTACTTTTTTAAAAACCACGTAGGTTAATTATTTTGGAAAAACTTAAAAAGTAATTTAAAACTTCTCCATTCCAATTCCAGCCTCACCAAGCACCTTCCTTCGCCGGCGGCTCCAGTCCAGAAAATGAGCGAGCGGAACTGCAGGTGCAAGGAGTCGGGTCGGCTCCGCAGCTGTGCACCCAAGTGTAAACGTGTACCTGATCTCTACCTCGGCTGCCCCCAGGGTTTGGCCCGGTGTGTGCGTCTTCCCGCAGGGGTCAGAGACCGGCTTGCGGATCCCGCTGCCGGGAGGCGCAGAGGGAGACCATCGAGTTCAAAGTCGCGAGCTCCACAACCGCCGAGATCGTTGGTGGGTTCCAGATCCCGCCTACAGAGACTTCCACGCGAAAACGCCCCGCCAGTCCCGCGTCGCGGCACAGCCACTTCTTGCTGTCGCGGCCAATCACCGGCGTGCAACGCGGCCAGCGTGAGTGTTGGAAGCCGCGGGCACGTCCATCTTTCTTGATGGCAGGAAGGCTCCCCTCAGCTCCCACCCGTTAAAACTCACCTGCACGGCCATTGTATTTAAGGTCAAGTGGACAATGAAAAGCCAGACCAGCGCCATGTTTGATACGGTCAAGGGACGGCGCCCTTAAGAGCAGCCAGTGACAACTGAAGCCTGGATGTCGCCATATTTTCTGAAGGCATCTTACGGGTCCCTTAACGCGGGTGTCTGTGTCCAAGCTGCCAGGAAGTGACTGAACACCGAGGGTGTTTATTTGTCCCCATCAGAATCCCGAATCCCAAACAGCCAACCCTGCTACTTCGGTTCCCTTCGGCTGAGTTCGGAGGCCAAGACTGGGCGGGGCCCCGGGCTCGGGAGCCCTTCCTGTGGACGACGAGAGCTGAGGCCAGGCGCGGGGAGCAGGCGGCCGCTGCTCTGGGCTGGAGGCCACATGGCGCCGCCCCCGGCCCCGCTCCTGCTGCTGAGACCGGGGGAGACCGGGCCTGGTTGCAAGAAGCCTGCGGCCGTGAGCTTCGCGGATGTGGCCGTGTACTTCTCCCCGGAGGAGTGGGGGTGTCTGCGGCCCGCGCAGAAGGCCCTGTACCGGGACGTGATGCGGGAGACCTACGGCCACCTGGACGCGCTCGGTGAGGCTCCGGGTCAGAGTCCGCCTGCTCCTTCACTGGGGTTCACAGGGGAGATGACATAAGGACCCGGAGGATTGTGTGGCCTAATCCCGCACTATTCCACCAACGACACCAGCCACCTCCCATCCCCAGCGCTGAAGGTACCCTCTCGGGAGTCCTTCCATCTCTCATCCGCTTCCTTCAGGCAGGAGCACTGCAGACCCTGTCCAGGTTGATCCTAAAGGCTGAGGAGGTGACCTCACCCTGACAGGGGGATGCCATCTTCCCAGGGCAGGCTCTCAGGCCAGCACTGTGATCCCTGTTCTCTCCCAGGATTCCCAGGCCCCAAACCAGCCCTCATCTCTTGGATGGAACAGGAGAGTGAGGCTTGGAGCCCCGCCGCCCAGGATCCTGAGGAGGGGGAAAGCCTGGGAGGAGCTCTGAGAGGTGAGGGATGGTCCCAAGTTTCCCCCAACCCCAGTATTCCAGGGCTTCCTGTCCAGCAGTGTTTTCTTTCAGATCGCCACCTCCAGCATCCCTAAAGGAATGAAAGAGTCAACAGATGTTGGATACGGGAGAAGGAAAAGAGGCAGACTTGATACAAATTTTTCAGAATTTGGTACAGTAGTCAAGTTGAGACCAGAGTTAGATAATCAGGAGCCCAAGTCTCAGACTCCCTCTGGGAGAAGCGCTGTTCATTCTACCCTTTTCAGGAACAACTAAAATCCCCTAAGAATGAAAGCAGCTTCAGGTCTGCCTTTCACATTCTCAAACAAGGCAAAGCAGTAATTGGCCAGTAATTGACAACTTGGCTCTTCTCCTTTCACCATCCCTCAGCAGAGCGATCTTGAGCAAATATCTTTACTCCTCTGTAAATGTCTTAACCCTGCAAAAAAATGAGAAACCACAATAATAATAGCTACTGCTTATTTATTTATTTATTTATTTTGGCTGCATTGGGTTTTAATTGCTGCGCGCGGGCTTCCTCTATTTGCAGCAAGCGGGGGCTACTTTTCCTTGCGGTTGCGTGGGCTTCTCATCGCTGTGGCTCCTCTTGTTGTGGAGCAGGGGCTCTAGGTATGTGGGCTTCAGTAGCTGGGGCACATGGGCTCAGTAGTTGCAGCACACGGGCTCAGTAGTTGTGGCGCACAGGCTCTAGAGCTCAGGCTTGGTAGTTGTAGCACACAGGCTTAGTTGCTCCGTCATGTGGGATCTTCCCCGACCAGGGATGGAACCCGTGTCCCCTGCATTGGCAGGCGGATTCTTAACCACTGTGCCACCAGGGAAGTCCTGCTATTGCTTACTGAGCATTTACTAAGTACTTAAGATGCTTTTACTCATTTAATCCTCCCAACAAACTTGTGAACTAAAGAAACCATTATGATTCCCGTTTGACACATGAGGAAGCAAGGCCCAGATAAGTCACTCTTAAGAGATTTGACCCCTGTTTACCATCCTTTAGAGCCTGTGTGTTCATCACTGGGCAGTACTTTTCTGGCACTTCCTTACGTAAAAGCATCCTATAACCTGAGACGATATAAGCGAATGTGTTTTAAAATGTAACTTGATTCCTGTTTCCTAGGAGATGCCCCAAACAAAAAGGAAGAGGAACCCAAGACAGGGCCAGGAGCCAAAGGATCTGAAAAGACTCCTAGGAAGGAGAGGCCTGAAGAGCTGGTTAAAAACAACCTTGACCCAACCATCAGCAAAACCTCGGCAAAAGCAGAGCCACCCAGCAAAGCTGCCTGTGACCAGAGCGCAGGTGCGCAGCCCCCGGCCCTGGTGCCTAGTGTAGATGCTCAGGCCAGCCAGCGGCGCCACGTGTGTGCAGACTGCGGCCGCCGCTTCACCTATCCCTCGCTGCTGGTCAGCCACCGGCGCATGCATTCGGGTGAGCGGCCCTTCCCCTGCCCCGAGTGTGGCATGCGCTTCAAGAGGAAGTTTGCCGTGGAAGCGCACCAGTGGATCCACCGCTCCTGCTCTGGGGGCCGGCGGGGCCGGAGGCCCGGAATCCGGGCTGTGCCTCGGGCCCCAGTCCGAGGTGACCGGGACCCGCCGGTGCTGTTCCGGCACTACCCGGACATCTTTAAAGAGTGCGGGTGAGTGGCTCCCGCTGGCTGGGCTTGAACCTGACCTCAGCGCTAAGGACTAACTGGGCCCTGAGGGAGGCTCCTGAGTCAGGGATTTGGGACCCAAAATTCATCCCTTGGTTTTCCCTCAAGGATCCCTCTAGTTTCCAAATCTGTAAAAATAAAAGTGCCTGTAAAGATTCAGAGATTGAACTTGACACCTCCTCTCCCTAGTCTTTCTTTAAAAATGAAGAGAGTGACATGCTGGGCTTTTTTCAAAGTGTTATCTCAGTAGCAGGTGCAGCCAAGATCATGTGCAAACACTGTCTCCAAAAAAAATCCCCGCTGCTTATCTGCAGCAGAGGTAAATGCTATGGGGGACTAAGGCCGAGGAGGAGGCCTCAGATGTAGGGCATGGTCTAGCCGCGGGTAACTGACACCAACAGGAGGCTCAGGCAGTGAAGTGGGTGGAAAGAATACAGAAACACCGGGTGCAGACTTAGTCTCTGCAACTCGCCCCCAAGGCGTAGCTGTTAAGTCACATGCTTTCCCTGAGCCTCAGCTCCTTCATCTGTAAAATGAGGATCAATAATATCTACCTCGGCTTCCCTGGTGGCGCAGTGGTTGAGAGTCCGCCTGCCGATGCAGGGGACATGGGTTCGTGCCCCGGTCCGGGAAGATCCCACATGCCGTGGAGCAGCTGGGCCCGTGAGCTATGGCCGCTGAGCCTGCGTGTCCGGAGCCTGTGCTCCGCAACGGGAGAGGCCACAGCAGTGAGAGGCCCGTGTACTGCAAAAAATAAAAAATAAAAAAAATAATATCTACCTCAAAGGGTTAGTGTGAAGACTGAAATTGTAACAATATGTATGACACAGTAAATGTGCAATAAACATTTGTTGAAACACAATTGAAAATGATTGTCGATATTTTACACTTCAGACCATGAAATGAAGTCTGCTAAGGAGGCAGGGATGGATAGCAACAGCTGTGTTTCACAGATGAGTAAACTGAGGATCAAAGTTTTACCGCTATAAAGCAGGAAAGCTGGAAACTGGCACTGTGCCCACACATATCTACCACTTCCTATGAGCAGTCAGATCTGGGCAGAACAGGGGTCAGGGGCTCAGGTGAGGGTGAAGTGAAGGAGCCAGTCTCACCTGTCTGGGGGAGTCTCAGCAGGGAAATGAGAGCCCCGCCCAGGCCCCAGACC